AAACCGACGGGGCGGGGCGCCGGCGGAGGAAGGCAGCCAGAGCCCCAGAGCCCCAGAGCCCCAGAGCCAGTCCCGTTCCCGTCCATAAACCGTCACACCACCCCCACCGTCCGCTCTCGCCTGCTCTGCTTGCTTTCTCTTCTCTCCCCCGCTCCAGCGGATAGCGGATGGCGGAGGCGGCGCCCGCAGCAGCCGGCGGCGGCATCGGGGACATCCTCGCCACCGCCGAACGGGACTTCCTCGTTCGCAACTCCGGCGAGCAGGTCAGTCAGCCTCCGCTCCACTCGTCTTTAATTTGTCTCGAGGCGGGGTACATAGATGCGCAGATTCGACATCTCGCGCTGCTGGCCCGATTGCGTCTTTTCTTGTCGTGTGGCTTTCGATTAGATACACGATCCGATTTTTTTTTTTTTTGAAACGGTAGACGATCCGATTATGGAATCCGCGGATATGGATTGGGGGTTTTGTGGCTCGGTTACCGGCTACAGTATTAGGTGGTAGATGATGAGCAAGGGAGGGGGTTTACTACTTTAGCTTCTTCGACTTTACTGTGTAGGCCTAGTACTACTTTAGGGAGTATCTAATATCTTTGGGTAGTGGGTACCAATTGGCAGGGTCGCGGTGAGCGCGATTATCAGTTTTTAATCGCCTTGCACGTGGGGCGAGCGGTACTTTTTCTCGCCCTGTTCGAAGCCCTACTTTTTCACCGAAGAACGGTATTTTTCTCTCACGACGAATCGGCCCAACGATATTTTCAGACCAACGAACAGGGTAATAAAGTTGAAGCAGCCGCAGTACCGCCAACGTTCACCCAACAAATTCACTCCATATGTTTACTTCTGGTTTACTTCAAATCGTTCTGTTACTGAGTTTCCAAATTTTCATCAAGGGTGCAAAACTAGTTTATGAGTACCCGTTACTTTTGTGTTTTCTTTTTGAACTTCTTATTATCTAGGGGTGGGATTCTTGAATTCTGGAATAGCCTGGAGTGTTACCACCATCTGTACTGCAATATTTGTGGGGTGGGGGATATTGTTTGGAACTCTGGATCATTATTAATTCCGAAAGCGTAGTTGCCTAGTTTGATTCCATAACCGCATATACAGGTTTAACTGGCAGAAAAAGTTACCTTTAGCAAGTTCAGACATCTGAAAGGTAGTAGTTCTGAAACATGCATGACATTTTTCTTATAAACAATTTTTTTAGATCAAAGGCGCAGCTCAGCTTTATTAGAAAGCTTAAGTTTGAACCTTTTCTTATAAACATAAGAAAAGCAAATTTACATTTGGTGACGGTGAATGATTGCAGCTATCTTGCTCTTCTCAACCAGAGTTTGGTTGCTGAACATCTCTGTGCCTTCTTTATTTGTTATCCTGCAGGTGAAGATCAGCAGCATCGAGGCGAGCCCTGTGGCCATCTACTTCTCGGCCTCATGGTGCCCGCCATGCAGGAGGTTCACGCCCAAGCTTATTGAAGTGTACAAAGAACTGGCCTCACAGGGCAAGAGCTTCGAGGTCGTCTTTGCTTCGGCTGATCAGAATGAGGAAGCATTCAATGAATACTTTGCAAAGATGCCATGGTTGGCCGTCCCTTTTTCTGACACCGAAGGCCGTGCGGCCCTTGATGGCCGGTTCAAGGTCTCTGGTATCCCACACCTTGTCATCCTTGATGCAAAAACTGGTGAAGTTTACACTGAAGATGGTGTTGAATTTGTGAGTGAGTATGGCGTGGAGGCTTACCCTTTCACACCAGATAGGATCAACGAACTGAAGGAACAGGAAAAGGCAGAAAAGGAGAATCAGACTATTCAAAGCGTGCTTGGCACACCTACTCGAGACTATCTCATTTCAAACAAGGGAGACAAGGTAACTGCTCGATGCAACTTCTCATGACCTTCGGTTGATTCATTGTCTTGCAAATACTTACTTGTTTTTATTGTTGTTATCTATACCCAGGTACCCATCTCTGAGCTTGAGGGGAAGTATGTTGGTCTGTGCTTTGTGGTGGATGGCTATGGACCAGTCATTGAATTCACTAATTTGCTTGCTAAGATCTATGAGAAACTCAAAGAAGTGGGGGAGAAATTTGAAGTTGTAGCTGTATCCTTGGACAGTGAAGAGTCAGCATTTAATGAGAGTTTTGCAAAGATGCCTTGGCTTGCAATTCCTCAAGGTGACCAGAAGTGTGAGAAGCTGGTTCGTTACTTTGAGCTTAGGTCTCTTCCTACACTAGTTCTGATTGGCCCTGACGGGAAGACACTGAACAGCAATGTTGCGGACATAATTGATGAGCATGGTTTTGAGGCATGGGAGGGCTTCCCCTTTAGTGCTGAGAAGCTGGAAATTCTTGCTGAGAAGGCAAAGGCTAAAGCTGCATCACAGACCTTGGAGTCCCTTCTTATCAGTGGTGAATTGGACTTTGTCATTGGGAAAGATGGTGCAAAGGTATGCACTACTGTTGCTTGACTTCTTTTATATTAAATTCCTCTTTTGTCATTGCAAAAGACAAGTTAATCACTCCATTAAGTAGTAAGTTTATTTTCCTTTATCTAAAAAAGTAGTAATTTTATTTTAAGATGGCTGTGGTGTTATTTATGTTTGATCATGGATAAATAACTCTTTTGTTTAAACAATATCCTAGTTTAAAATTAACCACTATGACCTTGAATAATGGTCCTTATGCTAACTTTAGGAAGTGATAGATGATAAAGAGATATTTATCAAGTAAACAGAGTTCTGCCAATTGGTAAAAGATATATTGTTTAACGTTGTCCTTTTATTTTACTGTCTGCTTTAGTAAAGATTGTATATCATACAGATTTTATGCACTTTTGATGGTTTTAATTATATAAGTCTGATTATCATGAGAAAATTGAAGTGTACTTAATGTATATCTCAGGTTCCTGTATCAGAACTTGTTGGGAAGACTGTCCTTCTTTACTTCTCAGCAAAATGGTGTGGACCATGCCGTGCCTTCCTGCCCACACTTGTCAAGGAATACAACAATATCAAAGCGAAGAACAGTGATTTTGAGATCGTCTTCATCTCCAGTGACAGGGATCAGAGCTCATTCGATGATTTTTTCTCTCAAATGCCATGGCTTGCTGTACCCTTGGAAGATGAAAGGAAGGCATCCCTGAAGAAGACCTTCAAGATCCGTGGGATCCCTTCACTTGTCGCCATCGGTCCTACGGGGCAGACAGTCAGCAGGGACGCAAAGGCCCAGCTAATGATCCACGGTGCTGACGCTTTCCCATTCACCGAGGAGAGACTCGAGGAGCTGCAGAAGAAGCTGGACGAGATGGCAAAGGGGTGGCCTCACAAGCTGAAGCATGAGCTGCATGACGAGCACGAACTTGTCCTGCTGCGCCGCGGTACGTACGGCTGCGATGGGTGTGAAGAGATGGGCAGCACATGGTCCTACAGGTGCGATGAGTGTGACTTTGATCTGCACCCCAAGTGCGCGTTGGGGGAGGAAAAGAAGGGCGAAGAGGAGGAAGGCAAGTCCACTGATGAAGCCCCTGCTGGGCATGTGTGCGAGGGAGGCGTGTGCAGGAAGGCCTAGAGTTGTTGTACTGAGTTGCCTTTGCCAGTTTCCGGTGCTATCTGAATGTTGTGAGGGGGTGACAATAATCGTGAGATGGTTGTGCTTGGAGCTGAGGTTTTTGGGCTGTTGATGTTTGTGTGTTAATAATAAATAGTAGTTGCACCCTGAACTCTTAGGAGCATATATGTATGCAGAACTATGTGAGTATTGTGTCATATCAAAGTAATGGTTTTGCTGCTTGGTATTTCTGCTTCTATGCATGTGATGTTGGTGGCAATTTTTATTTTTTGCCTTATGTTTCTGCAATCTTGCATGCTAGATATTGTTTTGGTTTTGGATCCACATGGTATCCTTTTGTTCTGACGAAGGATGGTCAGGGACGAGGTGAGTAATTTGGTGGCGTTAATATTTCATTGCATTGTTTGACTTGTTCTGTGAAGGTCTTTTGCATCCTTGCCTGGTTCAGATTCTAGATCCACATCAAGTGACATGCATGATGATCGGTTGTTTGTCGAAGCTGTGAGCCATTGTGTCAATGTAAAAATTTGGGGGAACAACTTGAAACGCGGTATTGTTTGGTTCTTTGGCATGGCAGGGATATAAAAAACTGCACTGCACTTCTGTTGCGATTTGTGACTAGTTGCTGCTCCTAACTAGATCCTGCAAAACTATGCCTGTTGGCTGTGCGGGAAGCTGGATCACCGTCAGATATGGGTGGATGGCATGTTTGTTACCACTCCACAGTCCACAGCCCCCAGGCGCGCCCTGGGCCCTGGCCAAGCCACAGCCCAGGAGGAGTACTCGCACTAGGCCCAATAACAAGAGAGTGAGTGGCCCAGACTGGGTCTGTAATGTGTGTGCGTTGCAGCCCACAGATCAAACTGCAATCCAGGAACCGCCTTGGTTTAGCGGAAAGAATAGGGATTACTGACCGGTGCTAAATCTAGTGAATTCGAACATTCACTTTGAAAATCTACAATGTCTTCTTCTCTGAGTCGCTGCGGAGCCATATATATAGCTTAACTTTTATTTTCTCTACAGTTGAGATTGCTTGTCTTCGTACTCAGACCAATTTCCATGTTTCCAAGATGCATGCCACGACAAGACTGATGGACGACCTACACCAATAATTGAAACATCCGTCCAACATCCAGCCCTTGGCCTTGGAGGAATCGTGTGGCTGGCTTCATCTTTTTTTTTTTTTTTTTTGTCTCTCTCTCTGTATGTTAGCTAGTCTTTGGAATGGCCGGCAAATTGTCAGCTACTAGCCCGCCAAGTCACTGGGCGGAGACCGCCGCGGCACGCTGGCATCACTTTGGTCGTATACAAACTTGCTGTCGCCGCCGATTGGCCCTCCTCTCCCCACTCCCAAGTCCCAACCCCTAGCTTAGCCTAGTATAGCTAGCAGCCTAGCACACGAGTTGCATTGATCGATCGAGCTATACGCGCGGCGTATGGCGGAGCGGGCGATCACCAGGCGCGCTGGTGGCATCGGGGCCATCCTCGGCACCGGTGATCGGGACTTCCTCGTCCGCAGCTCCGGCGAGCAGGTCAGCAAAAATATCCGGAAAGGACTCTTTCCTGTTTATTTTTCCCTGAACTAATTCAATTATTTAGCTGTTTCATTCATGCTTTTAAAAATCGAAGGCTGAGAGTTTTGGGCCATAGTGATTTACCTCCTACTGTACGAGGTAATCGCAGGTCCGTAGCCGAGAATTTTGGGCCATAGTGCGAAATATAACATGTGACCTATTTTAGACAGTAGGCATTCACGCTAAAGGACTACAATAGGCATTCATGCTAAAGGAGTAATAGGTGAATCTTACCGAAATCTCATTGACTAGCTTCTAGTAAAAAGCACCATTCTTCTGGTATTCTTTAAAATAAAATCTTCAATTGTATCTTCATACTTAATCTTCACCAAAACATCATTTTTCAAGTGCAATAGTCTCCAATCCATTGAGTCTTTCTTGTGTCATAGTGCTACACGTACAGGATAGGACTTGAACACAACTTCAGTTTCAAACACAACCAGAATTTTAGACTTCTCGGTGAGCTTCTCCCAGTGTTTTAGCATTCAAAAGTTAATATAAATTTTCCATACTAAATGCTTCATAGTGAGATTCCCATGTGATATGACTAGTAGTAGTGTTTTATTACTACTTAAAAACACTAGGAGAAGCCCACCATTTTAGTAGTGGAAAAGTTTCGCCCTACAGCTGATGCAACTGTCACATGATTGTCGTTGTCCCTAACTTCATCAATCTCCAAAGTGTGAACCTCAACAATGCTTGTGTCATCATCATCACCATGATTGCCATCGATTTCGTCTGCATCAAGACTGAAGAGTTTGGTTTTCCATACAAGTTTGACATTCTTTGACAACAAATCTATCAAGAGGACCCTTCCGAGTCTGCGCTTTTCATGACTGGAATCATATTTTCTAATTCTACTAGAATAGAAGACTTTAGAAGCAAATAGACCTCCCTGTTCAAAAATCACAAACACAATAAAACTAAAGATTAAAATACTAATTAGGTTTAGTGTAAGTGCAAACCAAATTGCCTACTGAATGTCCACGTACGCACCTGGCTGCTACCTAACTGCAAGAATACAAGTCTGCAATTGCATAATTAGGTTTAGTTTAAGTTTGCAAGAATACAAGTCTGCAATATATCTATCCCTTTATGCATTTTTTTTGCGACTATCCCTTTACGCAAATTGTGCAACAAGTTTGTGTATGGAAAAGGACACGTAGGTAGTGTTTAAAGTTCATGCATATGTAATTAAACAATAATGACAGAAGAAAGGAAAAAAAGTTGCATGTTCATGAATATTATGACCAAGATGGACTTCTTCTCATCAACCAGAATACCATGGGGTAGCCGAATTGCTGATGCCCGAATGTCCGATGGGATAGGATTATATCGGAAGGTACCGAATGGCCTAGCAGAACGGCCCTTTAGAAACGCGCCGCACTCCCACGTCCCACCGTATCTCTGCAGTCCTTCCCCGTCTACCTCGTCCCGCCCCACACGCGTACCCCCGCCCGTCCGCCTCACCCAACCCCACGCCCACCGCTCCTTCCCCCTAACCCTTCTCTCTCTCCGCGCGAGCGGGACCCGAGAGCCGGGATGAGGACAAGCACGCCCCATCCACGGGACCTCAGGCGCATCGCGCGCCCCATCTGTCGGCCCCCTGGCTCGCCGCGCCCCTTCCCACGGCGCCTGGGCCGTGCCCCCAATGACTCTCTGAACATACCTCTGAAACACGAAACACTTGCAACATGAAACACTTGAATGTAACATACGTCTGAAGCAGATGAAACATTTGGAACATACACTTGCAACATGTGTGAAACATATGCAACATCCAGATAAAACATTTACAACTTGCAACATGAAAAGACTTATTGCAACATAAGACTGTATTTCAAACATACTCTTGCAACATATATGTGAAACATATGCAACATCCAGATTAAAAACGCTTGCAACATACGTCTGAAACAGATAAAACATTTTGAACAAACGCTTGCAACATGCCTCTGAAAAACTTGCAACATGCCTTTGGAACACTTTGCAACACATGCAGCATCCCGATCTACTTTCGCAGCATCATATGAAATACTTGCAACATACCTCTGGAACATATGAAACACTTGTAACATATCAGGCCTAACACTAGTGGGAGGCAGCTACCATGTTAGGCGTATTGAGGAACTTGATAACCGCCTTGATGGGCAGATCGGGTCTGGGAGGTGGCGGAGCGAGGAGCACCATAGGCTTGGCTGTCGCGAGCTTCTTATGCTGGGGGCACCAGGGCGCGAAGCCTCGATGCGAGCGCGAAGTATGGCACGGCCGTGACGCTCTCACGGCCTCCAGCCACAGGAGGAGGTGATGAGGAGGACGTTGGCGCCGGCTTCAGCGATGAGGGCAGGGGCGGGCGGTAGACGCGACTCTAGCAGCGCAGTATGGCGCCACGGAGGCGAACGAGGGCCCCGGGGTGGAGGAAGTGGAGGTGGTCGTCATTGGAGAAGGCGAGCGGCGGGCGAGTGGTAGGGAACGTTGCGACGGCCGTGTTAATTGAGAATGTCGCTATCTTTTGTTTTATTTTATTTTGAGAAACGGTGAAAAAACGAAGGTAAAGGGTTATTGGGCTGGTAGTGCACAGGCTCATAAAACGCGGCGTTCGGACGGTCGGACGCCCGCACAGTAGTATTCTGGTATAATAACCTTCGGCCGCACCTTATTTCCTTTGATCATCGTGCAGGTGAAGATTTGCAGCATCGAGGCAAACACCGTGGCCCTCTACTTCTCTGCCTCATGGTGCGCACCGTGTAGGCTCTTCACACCCAAGCTCGTTGAAACATACCAAGAACTGCTGGAGCTGAAGCAGCAGGGCATGAGTAGTCTCGAGGTCGTCTTTGTTTCGCGCGACAGGGACGAGGAGTCATTCGACGCATACTTCGCAAAGATGCCATGGCTGGCGGTCCCGTTCTCCGACTCCGAATGCGTCAAGCGTCTCATGAGCCGGTACAAGGTGAACGGCATTCCGAACCTCGTCATCCTCGGCGCAGAAACAGGCGAAATCTACACGAAAGAGGGCGTCAAATTCATCAGCGAGTACGGTGCAGGGACCTTCCCGTTCACGCCGGAGAGGGTCAGTGAGCTGAAGGAGCAGGAGAAGGCAGACAAGGATAGCCAAACGATCCACAGCATTCTTGGCACGCCCACTCGAGACTACCTGATCTCGAGCAGAGGCGACAGGGTGCCCATTTCTGAGCTCGAGGGGAAGCACGTTGCCCTGTACTTCATGGCGAGGCCGATGGGTGAGTTCACCGCGAAGCTCGCTGAGGTCTACGAGAAACTGAGCCAAGCAGGGGAGAAATTCGAGGTTGTGGCTGTCTACTTCAGATGCGACGAGTCGGTGTTTCAGGAGAGCTTTGCAAGCATGCCTTGGCTTGCGATTCCTCGTGGCGACAGCATGTGCGAGAAGCTGGTCAGGTACTTTGACCTCAGGGCGCTTCCCACGCTTGTCCTTGTTGGGCCTGACGGCAAAACGCTGAACAACAAAATCGCGGATGTGGTTGAAGAGCATGGAGTGGACGCATGGGAAGGGTTCCCCTTCAGTGGTGAGAAGATGGAAGTTTTGATCGGTAGGTCCAAGGCCAAAGCAGCCACGCAGACCTTGGAGTCTCTTCTCGTCAGTGGTGATTTGGACTATGTTGTCGGAAAAGATGGAGCAAAGGTATTTGTTTTTAATGCACTTTTGATGGATTTAGCTTATCTAATTCTGTGATATTTTTGGCATGATGAGAGACTAAAATTAAGATGGTACTTGTGCTTGTATTGTATTGCGTGTCAGGTTCCTGTGTCAGATCTCGTCGGCACGACCGTCATCCTCTACTTCTCAGCGAAATGGTGCGCGCCATGCCGAGCTTTCCTGCCTACGCTGGTCAAGGAGTACGGCAAGATCAAGGAGAGAAGCGGCGGCGACTTCGAGATCATCTTCGTCTCCGTCGACAAGGACCAGAGCGCCTACGACGAGTACTTCTCTGCCATGCCATGGCTCGCTCTTCCCTGGGAGGACGAACGGAAGCAGCCACTGATGAAGAAGTTCAGAATCCGCGGGATCCCTTCGCTCGTCGCTGTCGGCCCTTCCGGCGTGACGCTCACCACGGACGCCAAGTCCCACATCGTGGCGCACGGCGCCGACGCGTTCCCGTTCACCGAGCAGGTGCTCGAGGAGCTGGGGAGGAAGCTGGACGAGGAGGCCAGGGCGTGGCCCGGGAAGGTGAGGCACGAGCTGCATGAGTTGCACGAGCTTGTCCTCACGCGGCGTGACGCTGCCGTCACCTACAACTGCGACGAGTGCGAAGGGTTGGGCAGCTCGTGGTCATACAGGTGCGACCGGTGCGACTTCGATCTTCACCCTAAGTGCGCGCTCGAGAAGGAGGAGGAGGAAGGCAAGGCGGGTATGCAGCAACTCCCGGCGGCTGCGTATGTGTGCGAGGGAGGTGTGTGCAGAAAGGCCTAGAGTTGTTTCCCTGAGTCGTCGAGCGCACGGTTTAGAACTTTTTACCTGGATGCTGTGTGGTGGGGCAAGATATATATTGTCAATTGTCATATATACTCGATGGTTTTGGTTGGAATTGAGATTGCATGTTAAGTTTGTCTTAGTGTATAACTGTATTGTATATACCATCATCTTCTCGAAGTTTGATGAACAGGAAATGATCAATTTCAAGGACAATTGTCATATGGCACTCGGTTGTTTTAGCTGCTGTCAACACGTGATTTCCTGGAGACGGAGGGAGCACAAGGCAACGGATGGCGGCGCTTGGCTGCGGCAACGGCATCGGCGGCGCTTGGTGTGGATCTGCCGGGACAGCGGGAGAGGGAAGGTTCAGGTCCGACGGTGGTGGCGTGCGGCGAGGTCCGAGGCGGCGTCACAGGCCTGTGGGGCAGCAGCTCCAGCGGCGTGGCTAGCTAGTAGGGCGCCTGGTTGTTGCCGGCGGAGCCGCGGGATGGTGCTGCGCAGCTCCGGCGGCATAGGGCGTCGGCGCTGGAGTGCTCGGTGGGCAACAGGGATGGAGGGTTCGTCCTCGCCAGGCGACGGCGGGGGCTCCCAGGTCGCGGTGGCTGTGCGCGGGGACAATTTGTAAATAATTTGCATATATTTCTATGATATCTGCATCCATAGAAATAATATATATTTTTTTCTAAATAATTTGGTATATATTTATCTGAGATATGCAATCTGTAAAAATAAAAGTTATGTTATCCCTAAATTACATCACTCTGTCCAATAAATTACAACGAAGAAATCATCGTAAATATAGTTAAAAGATATTGTAAATGCATGAACAAAAATCAAATGCTAGGAGTGGCCAAAACATCCGGTTGCTAGGTAGACTGATTCATTTCAAATTCATGTTGTTCTGTTATGAAGAGTTATCAGGAATGAAGACAAACTACTCCAACCATGAGGTGTTATTACTGTGAGTTTGTCAACTTGGAAAGTCAGTGAATTGCATATGCTTTTAATTTCAAACTAGGAAAATTATTAGAATTTATATGACCTAGTTCTCCTAAGCTCATATGCAGAAATTCTAATAAATCTCAAAGGTCCAATACCTGTGTTCAGATTCACCTATGTGAATCCTACGTCTCCATCGAGGAGTTCCCAAGGGAGCTGGGTCTCTTTCAACCACTTCCTTCACTTCATTATATTGATCTCTTCCCTTGCAGAGGCAACACGGCCTTCACAAATCCTTTACGAATGCTTACCGAAATTCAAAGTGCTCAGGGATGGCATTGCACTCTATCTCTTTCTCTCACCGTATGTCTCAACCCATCTCTGTAGACCTCACAAGAAACAATCAATCCTTACAAAGAGGAAGAGGGGAGAGCTTCTTTAGTCTCTAAAGGTGTGTTCTTTGTGTTGTTATTCGTGAACAACAGCCACTAGAGAAGGGGGTGAAGAAATACATATACTCGACCCCCAAATCTGACTTTTATATCACTTTTCTGCACAAGACCAGAAATTCTAGTCCGAATAGGATTTTTAGGGTTAGTATAGCACTACACAGCTTAACACGCACCAAGCATTAGAAATTTCGATAAGGGATCAGAAATTCCAGTTGAAAAATTAAATCCAACTAGGGTCCCTCGGATTGGAACCCCCCTCCTAGGCGGATTTTAGATGTTCACCGAAATTTCTGGACACACCTAAATTTTTCGGCACAACTCAGGTAAAATAATCATAATTTCTCACTCCGAACTTCGATTTTGATGATTAAAACTCTACATAATACTTGTTTAAAGGGCTATCAATTAAATTTAAAACAAGCTCCAAGGCCATCACCTTGTGCAGGTGTTGTTACAAGTGTTTCTCTCAAGTTAGCACTAGGGTTTGGTTAAATTGAGCACCGAGACTTGTTCACACACTTAATGTTACATCCCTCTTGATAGTATGACATATCTATACTCACAATTAAAGATAAAAACACATTTTAACCTCTTGAGTTTGCATGAATCTTCGTATGCCATTTCTTCATAATGTATCTTCATATGGGTTGCAACCATATTTGTCTCATTCTTCTTGAGCAAGTCCACATTGAGCATGTGACTTAAACTATTTCAACATATGCAAGTTCCATTCATGACTTCAAGTTACTTCCACTTATTTTTTCACAAAATATGACTCCTCATAGGTCGATTAGTACTTCGACTCAACGTAAATACTCTCTTCTTCACCTTAACCATGGTCTATAGGCACCTAAGCCGTCGCTTGCCCTTCACCTTTGCTTAATCCCTCAAAATCCTTTCCTTGCTATCTTCACTCTATCGAGCCATCTTCAAGTCATATCATATATATATCTTAAACCAATATTAAGCATTCATTTAAAGTCCCAAATCAACATTATTCATATCCATGTCATATTCCAAATATTGTCCTCATAATTTCTAACACCTCATTATTTTTTTTTCGATCTCTCCTATTGAAAGTTCGTACCGTTTTTCATCTTCTCAACTTGCACTACAAGGTGACAAATGCTACAATAAAACCGACATGAAGCCCTCTGCTGTGTCCGAAACAAGCTTTCCATTACCGAAGGAGATACCAATCGATGGCCTGGCGTGGAGGAGATTCCAAAGGTCCGACTGAAAGATACTCATGCTGGAGTTTTCTTCTCGGTTCTCGCGTCAATTTATAACTAATTAATTACCTCAAATACGTACAATAATCCTCTTCCCTAAATTATTAGAGCTTCTTGGTAACCAAATTGCTATACAAGTGAAGCATTTGCATGAAGACTAGGCTATCATCATGAAAGATTCTTCGGAGCTTCTGATGGAGCGGAGACGTGTGGCGGCCAGTACGTGTGTTAGCAGGCGTGGAACATCATTTTTGCTTAGCTTCATCCGGTGGTAATAAAATATTGACAGTAAACATATATACTATTAGATAGATTATAAAACAAGTGAATCAGTTTTCCGCATATGCCTTGAAATAAACTGCCAAGGACATGTTGTGTTCAATAAATTATATGTACCACCCGGTTTTAAAGATAAAACTAGATACACACCATATGTGAGTCCAGGAAGTCAAATATCACATATAACTACAAATAAAGGTAATATCAATAGACAATGCTTAATATATAACATACTTAGTATAAAGGATATAACCTTAGACAACAAACAACGGAAAGACAACTCCGATCTTCGGGTGAAGACTCCAATCCACAGGGACAACTGACTGGTTGATCACAAGCCTAACTCCTCCAGACTAGCAATCTGGTACACATCCAGGATTTTTCCAAAAATTTAAAAAGTAAAACAAGCGTAAGTACATATCGTACTCAACAAATATAACATGAGGTTCATGAGGCTCAAAAGACTGACACTGGTTTAACTGCGATTAGCTTTTAATTGTCACAATTTTAGCATAGGAGTAGCAACAAGTTTATCACAAGCCCTTATAAACGCATAATCAGGTAAACATGAATAATAAATAACATAAACAGTAATCATTAATGAGCATCTTCATCATCCGTATCATTAGTGTTCATCATCTGTTCCGTAAGGGTCCAAGGCCGCCCGTGACCGTGAGCATGGCTGATATACCAGTTTTACACGCTGCAGAGGTTGTACACTTTTACTGTGAGTCGTGATTTACCCTTTCGTTCGAGGTAGCTAATCTCTTGACCCACTTACAAGGAAGATCGACAGGGTTCACTTCGAAGCCTTTTAAAGGTTCGCCTAACAAGTTAGGGCCATTAGATTCACTCGGCAAATAGATATAGGAACCGAATACACAAGGGGATAAAGGCTGTCCTATACCCGATTTGTTAAGCCATTCTTACGCCAATAAAGGTAACATCTAACAAGCTAGAAAATGTCCTTATACTGAGCTAAAGCCAGAGCTATGTAGCCCTCACAGTTGTACTGTAAGTCCCGGATGTTCGCTTACAGATAAGTCCTTAGGGAGAGGAATCTAGAGCATCATAAAAACAACCCAATGCTCTAGCCCCCTTGCTTCCATGTTGCTAAAAAACATCTTTTAGTGTTTATTGCATATCCCATTAGTCAAGTTACAAGATCATGGTCTTTAATTAAGCACTAACATCATACTACCCAATACAATACCCCATAGGTAACAAGGCACAAGGTAACAAAGCACTAGGAAATCCTTAGTGGCAGTCAAGGTAAAAACATGCATTATGAATTAAATGATTAAAGATGTATAGGACAACAAAAAATATCCCATGCTATACTTGCCTTAAACTTAGATCCTTTTTCAAGTCCAAAACTTCAAAGATCTACTTCTTGATTCACCACGTACAGCTCACCGACTGGATATGATCGTAAAGCACCACACAAGCATCTATGCAATCATACACGAAGCAAACAATAGATCTAAATTAGAATAGTACACCAAATATAAAATCATGATGAAAAGCTTATAAAACGAATCTACGTCTCACTACGAACACACAGACGCGAAGATCACGCTAATCGGAGCTACGGCGAAAATGATACATCTACCGATAGATTTGCTTTATACGTGGAAAAGAATACTATAGGCTTTATTTATTTTAATTATAAAACATATATAAGAATATCTAAATTGTTTTAAGCAAAACTATATCTGTATTAGAAAACCAACATAAAATTAATCTTATTTTATTTACAAAAGACTATGGAGAAAATCCCTAATTGCTTTTAATTGAAAAACTAATATAGATTAATCAAATTATTGTTTTATTCAAAAGCTTCAAACAGGTTAAACAATACCACTAATAAGTAGATTACGTCGTTATAAATCTAACGCAACTTGAACGAATCAAATCGGAGTTAAAACGAAGAAGATATGGCCTAATGAAGATAATGACAATTTTGTAAATAGATGGAACTTAATTTTCGAATTAAAATTAATAAAATCCGATCTTTAAATCTGGTCGAGGACTGTGGGCACTATTTAAAGAAAAAGCAGGGATCCTTTTGGAAGAAACCAGGGATGACGGGTTT